TGCGGTACATCTATTCGCACTCATTCTATCGTTATTTTTCTCCATACTCTTTCTCTCTCTCTCTCTCTCTCTCTCTCTCTCTCTCTCTCTCTGAATTTTAGTAGAGGAACGATCAACGATCTCATTTAAATTTAAACATTACCATGAGTTCTAGCCGATAATTGTCGCGACATTCGGGATTAATTGTTGGAACAGCACGGCAATTAATTATCGCACGATTCTGTCCGCGTCGAGGTATTTTATTGGCGAGCAAGAGACCATGATCTATACAAGTGTGCGAGTATGAGTGAGATAGAGAAATAAAGAGAGAGAGAGAGAGAGAGATAAAAGGTTTGACGCACGCGTGGACGCCATCGAAAAGAGGGGGGAGGGAGGTTTTCTCGTTCGTGCGTTTGCTCGCACCCACCATTACGTCATAGCAACCTACGAAATTCTAACGCTCTCCCCCCCCTCTCTCTCTCTCTCTATCACGATTGATAAAAAACAAGAGGATCTGATTGGATCCATTGACGTAGCACGCGTAACATTTTCATGCAAGCCATTCCCCATTCTTTCTCACTCGTCCTCCCTTCTCTTGTAAATATTGCGATTAAACCATCGGTTAGCCTCACAAAAACCAAATTAAATATCACGCTTGACCTCTCTCTCTCTCTCTTTCTCTCTCTCTTTCTATTCTTCTTCTCTTTAATTGTAACTCACCATGGGGAAATAAAAAGGAAACATTTGCTATTTGTATTTCTTTCTCTTTTTCAACTTGTCGATCTATCATCACTCGTGAGTATTAAATATTTCATCGAAAAAAAAAAAGAAAAAAATATATATTGTATATACGTATATAGACAAGAGAGAGAGTTTCGCGTATTCTCTACGCCCAGTCGAATATTTATGAAATTCTTCGAAGAAATGTTTGTTTAAGCACGCGTCGTTGTTCTACCAACTCCGGAAATAATCCAGCGATGATCGGAAGATAGTGTTCCAGCCACGTAGATTCGAAAACAAAAAAAAAAATCTTTTCTCCATACTATGGAAACTTTGCTCTTATAGGAAAACTCGAAATGGCTTGCGTCCAAGTTGGAATATAAAGCGGAAGCGAAACCGCCATAAATCCGATACATACCGCGGCACTATACGCTACGGAAATTCGTTATCGGATACAATGGCAATTTTTCTCTCTCTCTCTCTCTCTCTCTCCTGTTACTTTCCCCATTGGTACCTTTTTCTACCCGACATCCCTTTCCCTCTGTGACCCCTCGAACGACAACACAACATTGGGATACAGAGAGCGGCTTCTTCGTTTTAGGAAGCGCTACGAACGCGACACGGTAACACGAGCTTTTCTCGAGGCTCGTCGTCGATCCGGCCGACTGGCTGGCTGGCTGGCTGCCGATGAATTACGAGATCGTAGATCGAGGGAAGTCGTTAAAAAAGTATCGCCACATTTTTTCTTAACATCTGCGAACGATTTGGTACGAAAGAGGGTTCGCTCGTAGTATAGTAGCAGCAGTAGTAGTGTAGTAGTAGTAGTAGTAGTAGTAGTAGTAGTAGTAGTAGTGTAGTAGGAGAAGGAGGAGGAGGAGGAGGTAACGTTCTTCAGACAGGACGAATGTTTTACTCCGAAATCCGATCCGATAGGAACGTTACGAAATACCAAGAGAGAAGCTTGTACACAGTGCCTATACTTCTGTCATGGGATATACATATATCCCAGGAGACGATCCATAAACTTTGGATCTGCTCGCAGTCATCCATTTTCGAACGAAACGTATTCGCGTACGTATGTATGTATAGGTAGGCATCTATTATACGTACCTACCTATATTTACGTTTATACACTATTTAAAAATATTCATGTTACTAATATCAACATATACATATGTATGTAAATATATTTCCCTACGCATTTATGCATTTACACGAATGTATATTCATAAACGTGGAAGGGTAGAAAAGTTCTTATACATATGTATCTATATTTATACGCGTATAAACATCGCAAAGTTTTGATCCCCTACCCAAAGGATACCGACCCAAGGTCTTGCGTACTTGCTCATTTTCCAAGGATTACGTCTTCACCTACCTACCTTCTATACACATCAAAACATAATCTTCTCCGGTTGCAAAACGAGCGGATCGTTCGTGCGAGTGGCTCGACCGAACAACACAGTTAATATCTGGAACGCGTTGGACACGAAAGCGTCGCTTTCGTGATATATTGTAGCCATATAAACTACGGCTTTACCAACGATACGCTCGCAAAACGGTAGACTGATTTCCATGTTTATGGAAGGTCAGCATGGGGTTAACCCACGACACTACCGCCGAAGACCTATGTTAAACGTCGACCGAAGAAGACGCTTTTTTCTCAGTTAGTTTTCGAATCTTTTTTACCATCTTTATTTAAGTATTATAATATTATGTATATATAAGTCGCTCGTAAAATATTTAACTTCGTGTAAAGAAGATTGAAACCGAAAAATAAATTCAATATTTTTATCGGTAAAGTATTATTGACTTTTGAACCAGAAACATTTTAAGAACACCCTATGTATATACATGTAGATATATATAAGAGAGAGTATAAACGTTTACATACACACCAAGTATGTAGTATTAACGTGGACGGCACAAGCGCAATTATTATTACTCTCGTTATTTCTTCACTCCATTCAAACCGTACTAGCAGCAGTCACTCGCCGAGGTTATTATCCTATTGAGCTTGTAAGAAACGGTCGGGAATGATGTCGTACGAGCATCTTACGACATCCTCCCTTTCCTTTTCTCTCTCTATCTCTCTTTCTCTTTCTTATTCTCTCTCCCACTTTACTTCAGCGTCTAGCAAAAAGACGAGACAAGAAGAAGGTCGGTTTACCGCTTTAACGTTGCAGCTTCCCTTCCAAGAAACGAGCTTCCATCTGAGCTGATCGAACGAAACTCCTTCCTTGCACGGTGAACGTGGGATCAAAGGCGGCTAAAGAAAAAGATGAACATGTATTACTTTACTTACTTTCTTGATTACTCCCACGTTTGAGTTCGCTATTAAAAATAAAACCAACAATGAGAAGAGGAGACTTTCTGTTTTTTTTTCGTCGAATTTTCGTCTGCGATGGAAGTGAAAAGCTTTTGTGTTTTTTTTGTTTAGCTTTACTCGTCGATTTGATCGATCATCTCGCTTCTTTTAGAAATGATGTCGGTATAGAGCAAAGGATAAACGATAAAGAAAGAGACAGACAAAGAGAGAAAATCTTTCATTTGGACTCCCCAGTTATTAGATCAAGAGCAGATATGAAGACAGATGAGGACTGATTTGAATATAAATAGGGGGAACGGAGGTTAATTGAGTACCCAATGAAGAAATCGAGAAATTATTTCGTGGCAAACAATATTCTATCTCTTTATCTAATTTTCTCTCTTTCTCTGTCTTTATCTATATTTTTTTGCTTCTTCTTATCTATCTCTGTCTCTCCTTACTTTTTCTTCTTTTTCTTTACGGACAAAAACGTTTCCCATCCGGAAAACGTCGAGATCGGAAGATAATAAGGGGAAGGGACTTTCGGAAGAAGGATCACTTTGGAAAGACGGCAATTATCTGGCGTAATTAGACGACAAATTCTCTGTTTTTTCTTCTTTGAGGTGTCACCTTCTCTTATCCTGTTTTTTCTCTCTCTCTCTCTCTCTCTCTCTTTTAACTTTTCCTTTTTTATTATTTTTTCTTTCTTTATTTTTTTTCTTTTATTCCTATTTCACGGAGCGGTTATTTTATACGAAAAAACAAATAGCAAAGGGAAAAGGTCGATTTCGAAAGTGTACTCTTGAGGTAACACACGCCTTGGAAATTTCTCCATTTTGTGGCTCTGCCGTTTTTCTGTTTACTACGAACGTAGAAAAAGAAATACGAGAGTAGCCTTGGAAAATATTACGAGAAGAAAGATAGAAAAGAAATGAAATCGTCCATGAAAATGACAATGATCGATTGGATCTTGAATAATAAAGAAAAAAAATAAAATGGAACAAATAATACGAAGAAGAAGAAAAAAAACACGAGAATGGAATCTAATATAAGAGGGATCGATAAAGTTGTTAGTTGAAGCGAACGAACGATTGATCGATTATTAGCATAGTAACTTTGTCCTTGAGGCTTATTTGACGTAATGATGTCTAAATGAATAACGAAAAGGTTGTTCTTCGTGTATCAACTCTCATAGATATGCATATTTGTGTTAGCGACACACATACGCGTGTTTCATATAAAGAAATAGCACCCCAACGTAGTAATAAATTGCAAAACGGCAATACTTTTATCGTCCATTTTACGAGAGGTCCGTTCTCTTGGCCGTAACTTCGTTTTCGAATCCGATGGGACTATAAAGATAAATTAAGTATGGTTCGAAGGTAAATGGACGCTCGAAAGCGAGCGCGATGCTCTCGGCGAGGTCGTTAAAAGAATTTAACTCGAAGAAATGTTTGAAAACGAATTTGGAAAAATATAAATGTATATAGGTCTATTGTACGTACATTAAATACAATAGTAAATATACATACGTATAATATATGAAAGAGAATAACTATCTCGTAAGTATAAGAAAATAAAAACTTCGATAATATGGTATCTTATGCAAGAAATATTTCGATACACACAAATCGTAAGCAATGGAAAGCATCCAAGTGTTCATATTTAAATGATCCACCCGTTACAATATAGCCGCATTCCATTCGTTTCTCTTGAAAATAGTGGCGAACTTGTCGAGGAAACGTTTGATTTCTTCGCTATGATGAATTTTGAAAAAGTATTCCGTCTCAACAGGTTTGCTCGGCATTCCTCTCATCGACATCTCTCTTTCCCTTTCTCTCTCTCTCTTTTTCTTTCCAACACACCGAGCTTATACATATCAAGATACATAATATCGTTGAGTGTACAAGCGAGTCGTATTATTCGAAAAGAACCGTTCGTTTTTCTTGTCGTATCGTTAACGCCTCTATCATTGTTTTCGTTTTGTTTTCAGCTCCAGGTCGAGGACAGCATCAAGAACGAGGTCGATCGTAATCTGCCTTACGCTGTTACTAACAATGGAAGCTAGAAGCGTAGAGGGTGCGAATATGACAAATGCGTCCTCCTCCTTATCCTCCTCATCCTCCTTGTCCTCGTCGTCTTCGTCCTCTTCTTCATCGTCCTCGTCTTTGTCGTCATCGTCGTCCTCGTCATCCTCGTCCTCGTCCTCATCCTCATCCTCATCGTCAGCTGTGTCGACGTTAAAGCCGATTACAACGACGGAAGTAGTTTATCAGCGATTCGCCATCGAGCCAATGGATCAAACCGCGGTGGTTGGTAGCAGGGTGACCCTTCCGTGTCGAGTTCTTGATCAAAAGGGACCCATTCAATGGACGAAGGATGATTTTGGACTTGGTGCTGTTAGGAATTTGACTGGATACGAACGTTACGCTATGATCGGTAGCGACGAAGAGGGTAAGTCTATCCTTTGAAGAATCCTATTTATCTTTACGTAAATTCTCCAAACGTCTCTATTTGCTGATCCGTTCTCTCTTCTGATTACTATCTTTCATTGACTGTTAGAAAAATAAACAAAAGTATTCGTCCTGGGACATCGTTAATATACTTTCATCAATTCTGCAGTTTGCATAATAATTCATTGTATGTAGTAGTGATAGAAGCTTTTCGTAGCTTCCTTCTCTATTATTTCTCCTGTATCTCGGTCGAATGAAATTAATTACAAGTCCGTAATGGAAGCGTTTCGTTTGCTCGTCAAAGAACGAACGAACGATCTCGTCGTCCTGAAAAAAGTAAACTCTTGTTACTCTTCCTTCTTTCTCTGTTTCGTTTTATCTTTTCCTTTTTATATTTCTCTCTCTCTCTTTCTTTTTCTTTCTTTTTTGTTCTCTTTTCCATATCTGAGTTATCTATGTATCTACCGATCGACGAACTCATTCCCTCCTTCTTTTAACCAATGAGAATACGATTTTATTAAAACTGCTCTCATTGCGCTTTTCGACGACCAACCGACCGCTTGTCTTCACGGCGAAATTCAATTTCCTACGCGGCGTACCGTCTATTCGTTCTGTTCTCTCTCTCTTACTTTCTCTTTCTCTTTTTTTTTTCCTCTATCACTCCCGCTTGCTTTCATTCCATTTATTCTTTTTTTTTCCTGCTTCAACCGAAAGAATCCAATCGAAATCATCGTGCGTGCTTTCCTCGGAGCAGCCGCAACAAAATATTTTATGTCGTTTGCCATCGTCGTACTAGTTTTGTAAGCCAATCGAATCGTTGATACTTTTTTCTTTTGTTTTCTTTTTTTTTTCTTCTTCTTTTATCTCTTCTCTACTTTTTGTACTTTTTCTTTTAAAGCTTGATTGCCAGGCCAATTTCATTTACAATCGATACGTATATTTACGTTGTACTCCGAAAACGTCTACGTCTCGTAAAAATGAAAAAGTTATATGACAACTCGTTATGTAGTATAATATATCGCGTACATTGTTACGTAATCGCATAACGAAAGATATGGGAAGGATATTTGAAATTTGTAGAAAATCTCGAGGAACGATATTTCTAATGTTCCTACTCGCTTAGTTGAATGAAACAAAGAAAAGGATCATTAGACTTTCGAGGATTAAGTGTCTTTTCCATGATTTAGCAGTCTCAGAACTCGTTTACTTGTACCTTTCCTGATATTCGTACACCATCAAAATCTTAATTAATCTTATGAACTTTTCGTTGGAAGCGTAGGTAGGTACTTGCTATCGTTCCTTTAGCAAAGGACGCGAATTTTCGCTCGAACGAGTCTCTGAATCGATTAGGAAGTCTTCAAGTTTTCAAATTCAACTTCCCCTACGACGCGGGGTTGTAAAAGCGAAACGATAAGTAAGCGCGTGTCGTTATCTTCGTCCAAGCATCTCGAATTGTTCGCGTGACATGTAGATAATTAACGAACACGTAATATCCGTATTATATGATATATAGGGCAACGTCATTCGAATTCAGAGACAGCTAGTGAGATAACTATATATAGTGAGGTACTCTAGAGATTTCTAGGATTAAAAATATTATATGTCGAAATCGTTGAATTATGCGATCGTCTATTTTGAAATCAGAGAGATATACGGTTATTTTATACGAATATAAAATATAATATATACCTTCATTGGATAATATACTTAATTATATATCCGTTGAATGTTGACAAAGTTTCGTGCTTCTTTTAAATATTGTTAAAGGATTATTTTGATATAACATATTATAAATTAAATAGATGTTTATAATTTCGAGCTAATAAATATTACTCGAATAAATTTTGTCGAAATTCTTTTTGACGTCTACACGCTCGCGCTTACGTAAATGGAACAATGTTCTGTTGAACCGAGTGTATAATTTCTTGGAAAAATACCCTACTTGCTGACCCGTTGAATTTCCTAGAAAATAGAAGTTATCTTACTAGTAGCTGACATCAAGAAAATCATATAAAACTTGACGAGATCGATAAAGAGAAATTTCAAATGTTACTCTTTACTTTTTTCTTTTTTTAAATATAAATATATATGCATAAAAAGATTAACTTGACTTAATTAAATGTTCAGATTCTTAAATAATATAGAACGAAATAATTTTCTAGATATTTGATTTTATAAAGGAAGATAAAGAATATTTAATTAGAAATTCTTGACGTGCTCCGGATGTTTAAACGAAGAAATATATTGCATGCCCACACGGCCGCTTGCGTTCGAGAAATGATCTGATTCGCAAACGATCAATTTGCGCGATCGAGCAAACGTTTAATGCTTCCGACTTACATTAGTGTTTTACATGAGATTCACAATTTTGTGGCTTCCTTTGATACAAATTTGATAGTACGTGTACGGTTTACGTAGTACTCAATCCAAGCAATTGCTCGAGTTGTAACTTAATTGCTTTTCAATTAAGAGTAATTAACTGGCGCTTTCCGCAGATAATTCTGTATTTGACTCCGGCTTTAATGATATGTTATTTGGCCATGCGATCGGGAACAATGCGATAAAATTTCATTTCGGGGTATAGGGAGGGTATAGAAAGGATGACAATTTTACATTTGAAATGATTACTTTAAAAAGCATCAATCGCACACTATTCGAAATTTAATCTGATCCAGGACATAGCACGTAGATATCAATTGCATGATTCTTCTTTTCTTTTTCACGTACGCGTTAATTTATCGTTGGAAATGAGGCGATGGAGTAATCGTGTAGACTAATGAAAAATAAAAATACGAATTCACCTGCTGGAGAGAGAAGATCTTTGAGTACTGATAATGGTTTCGTTAAGGTAAATTAAAGTCTACGTTTTATCGATAGAAAGCTTTTCGAAGAGAGTAAATACCTTATTCGTTGCAATCTAGGAATCACAATTAAGACATCAAAAACATTTACTTCAAACGATATCCGAACGTTATTCCAACTTATTAAAATCCATAATTCCAACAACGGATAGGGAACAAATGATAGAGCAAAATTTCTAGATAAAATATTATTACAGGCATTTCGAGAAGGCGGTAACGTGCACAACGTTCGGTTCGTTCGATTTGCCAATAAAAGTTATGGAGAGGAGAAAAAGAAAAGAGAGAGAAGAATACGCAGAGGTGGTAGCATAACGCTTTGCACGGTACTGCCCGTTTGTGGAATATGCGCTACAGGCGATATCGGAGTTTTCGTCGATCGCACATGACTCTCGTCGTTTCTATTTGTTTTTCGGCTATTCGAGGCCGTGAGGATTAGCCTCGCGAGGCGATAGACCGATCCGACGATATCCTATATCGATATTTCTTCTCTTACTCTCTCTATGTCTGCTGGCACATTTACATTGTACGGTGCAATCGCACAGCTTTTACGATATCAGACTGTTTCTGGAAACGATAAGATTCAAACGTTTGAAAAGGGTACTTTCAATTGGTGTGCAATGTGATTTGTGTACTTATCAAAGTACGAAATGTATGTAATTACAATTAATTCATTATAATTGATTTGTTGATAATCATATTGGTTTGGATTGTTAATGGATATACGTAAAAATATTGGCAAATATACTAATGCAGGGTTATATATATATCAGTAAATTTCAATAAACTTCTAAAGGACGTACGCAACATTTAATCGATAACATTAAATATCGAATCTGGAAAGTCATCGATAATTTAACTGATAATTCGCGGGACTGTTATCGGTGTGGGCCCCCGACCAACGATCATTCTACATTATCCCCTTTCGTAGCTTTTGAAATATTATTCCTATAGTTTTCCAGCGGTGTGCAAATGAGTTTCCAGGGCTCGCTAAAGTTCACAACGTTTTGCGCAAGTTCATAGGTGAATTTCAAATAGTATTGATGCCGCATTGAAAGAGAGAGAGAGAGAGAGTGAGACAGAGACGTATATACATATGTATGCATACGATTGGAGCAAATATTTGAGAACAAGTATCCACATCGAGAGAGAATGCTCGAAAATGTCTACATGGTACGGTCAATCAGAAAACGGTATCTATGAACGTTTAAACGTACGTTCGAATCTCAGGGATCTTCGATAATTACTCTTTAATCGTACTTTGAAAATTTATCATGAACTTTCCCAACAATCGATAAACACTATCTGAGTTGAGCATGTATCAAAGTACATAAAAGCATTAGAGAAACTTAGAAGAAAAAGTGGGGTTCATGGCGCAAGTTTGGTTGGCTATTTTGCTACTTTGCCAGCACGTCGACGTACGTTTAATTTTCCACGACAGAAATTATATTTGACAAAGTAATAGAGCGGTTACTCTCTCTCTTCCCATAGTTTAGAAATCGAGGAAGGGGTTACGAAAGGGTGGTGGAAGTTGTTAGAGAGAGAGAGAGAGAGAGGGCAAAGGAAAAAGGATAAATCGATGACTCTTGAGATCGTAAATCGTAAGATACTCGACGGACAATGCCGAGGAAATCGTATAAATTCGCATAAAAACACGGCACCTTTCCTTGCTTGAACGCTTTTTCGAATCCTTCGACTCATCATTTTTCGCAACAATAGCGCCGTAAGCTTACAATACGGCTGAAATTAAATTTCTCTCTAGGTCTTGAGTTATCGTCTATTTTTGCGATAAGTTCAAACGACTAGGTAAAAGGGCATCTCTAAAACGATCAACCTAGCGATAAGGTAAAAAAATAGAAAGAAGAAAGGAAAAAGAGTAGATAGAGCTTTTATTATTATTATTTATCAAGGAAGTTTAAAAAAACCCTTATTACGTATAACAAATCTGAACACTGTAATAAAAAATAAATAAAAAATAAGGAAACAAAGATTATTCCTTTGTCACGATTATTATAATAAGATTCTTTTAGATTAAGGAGAGAGATAGAAAGAGAAAGAGAGGACAAAGAAGAAGAAAAAGCCCAATAAACTAGATCTGTGGAATATACATTTTTTCTTTTGTACGTTTATGTAACAGTAGGGA